AAGCCTTTCCAACGTGACGAAGTGATAAGCACCTAGCTGGGGTCATCTGAGGTGCTCTTTCCTGCCCAGGGCAGGGGGTCGGACTCTGTGATCTATTGAGGTCCCTTCTATTCTATTGAGGACCCTAAAAATCTATGAAATCTGAAATGCTAAGCACTTTCAACTCATGGCGGTCAGTCGGGCCAGAGCGTATTGACTGCAGGTCCCAAGTAACATGAAGGCTACGGCCCTTACTGAGTTAGCCTAAAGTGTTCTGTTAGAATTGATGTTGTTAGAGGAGTGGTGCATGAAACAAATGTAAGGTTAATGGAAAAGCGGCTAATTAATGGGACTGAATAAGCGCCATTTCTTCTGGGTGTTGCAGGATCAATGTAACCTTTTATTGTTGTGTGTTGGAAACGGCTTCTTTACACACAACTCTTACCAAGTATCACCCAGATCTGGTTTCCATTTAGCTCAGGTCTCATGACTTGCTTAAATAAATTGATGACCTAAAAGATCCATATTAAAGGGCAGATGCCATCCCAGCAGTGAGTGTTGACACAGCACTCTCCTTCCCAAGAGACCTGCTTTGTTCCAGGCCATATCTGTTTACTTTAATGACTAAATTAAGTTTTATTGTGTTTACTCCTGCTTGCCTTGCGGAGCTAGGACTGTTCTGAGAGAGCGAGCTGGGTTGTATTTTGGCTTGTGCCTTCGTATCAGAATAGCTACCCACATTATAACCACAACGTCTCTACTAAGTGTAATGCACCATGTAAAACCAGCCTTGCTTCAGTCTTCAGAGGGCTGGACATATAACACATTAACCCTGGTGTAATTTCCAGTGGTTTTGTAACATTCCTAGCCGAGATCAGAAAAAAGTCAGTTTCCCTCTCTTAAATAATAAGACTGATCTCACACCTGTTTTATCCTAAGATTAGCTCTGATGACTAAAAGGAGTGCAGAGCAGTTATGGCTTATAATATTACTTGCAGCTTCCGTGTCTTTCCTTACACCACTCTTCTATCCTAGTGAAATAAGTGGAATCGCTCCAGATTTACACTGGTGCATGAAATAGCAGAATTTGACCCTATTTATTTTAGTTGCATTTGAAATGGTGCTGGCGAATAATAATGGACTGTCTCCACGAATCCTCAGATCCTGCCTGCAAATGCAGGGGTCGTGTGAGTCCCGTCGGTAGCACTTGAAACAACCCAGGCCCAACTTCATCTTTCTTTTTTTACAGCCACAGTGTTTCTGAAGTTTGTGAAACACAAGTTGGGGGAAAAAAATGTCTTCAATGTTGGAGATAAAGTGTTCCGTGCTGAAACCCAGTCCTGTGCCTGAGTAATCATTCAGGGCCCAGTTTGCACATGAAGATGGCCTGATCCTGCATCTGTTTTATCTTCACCCCCTGAGTGAAGCAGAGGAGAGGCAGGCTGGTCTGCTTTGGCAGCATTTGCGTGCACTCATCTGAGGGGTATTTTTCATCCTGCACCAGCCAATAATGTAACCGTAGCAAGGAGTTCCCAGACATTTTTTCCTTGGCCTGATGGTTCTTAGAAATCTACTTTTCATAATAGGAAACCAATTACTGCTTCGTGAGTGCATGTTTGTCCAAAGTGAAAGCCAAGTCATTTAGATACCCTTCCAAGTGTGGCCTAGCACATACATGAGTTAATTTGGGTGCATCAAATTATTTTGCTTTTGAGCAGAAAACTGTGGTTCAGGTCATATTACATTACCCCCAGAACTACACCCATATGCCTTTGGTCCAGTCTTTGTTCCCCGTGTCTTTGCTGCCTCCTCTCCAAAGTGATGTTTCTTATCCAAATCCACCACTTCTCGCTTCAGCCCTTTATGCAAGTCGCATCTTTTTTTCATTGGTGTCAGTCCAACCCCTTTCACCGACATCATTCACCAGTGGCTGAGTGTGCAAACTAAATTCTCAAGGGCTCGATTTTTAGGTATCCACTAAAGCTCATTAGGATCTGCCAGTGCTTCTCACCTTTGAAAACTGGGTCTTTATTGGATGTTATTGGAAAATTTATGTCTGTCTGAAGAATAAGCTTGTGAGGCACTCTACACATGAAATTCCTGTTGGGACGCTTCAGCATGGCATCTATTGCAAAAGTACTGCCTGATACCCTTTGCAGTAGCAACTCAATAGATATAAGTTGATTATTGTATTATACTACTAGTATTAGTTTTACTGGGCCAACATTTCCAGAATCATTTTGGGTGCCCCTATTTTAGATGTTCCTCTTGAAACAACTTTAAAGCCCCATTTTCAGCAAATCCTCTATACTCAAGACCAATTAAAAAAATACTTGAAATTGGCAACCAAAAAACACGTTTTAAAATTAGGGAAATTAATAGTTAATTATCAACCCAATCCCGGATTCCTCATTCAGGCATGAATCTTACAAGTCTATCAGTGTTTTTCCTACAAATGCATACATTTAAGAAATTGAAACCTCCTGTCTTCCAGAAATGCCCCCAGTCCATCAGTCAGCCTGTCCATCACTCAGCAGCCATGGCCAGGTCTGTTCTCATGTAGCACGTTCTCTTATGGATAAATTAAAGACGTATTCAGAAAGAAAGGCATAAGGTTATACAGTGTGACTTCTTTAGAAAGAGAGAGGGCACATTTTGCAATAAAGGCTTGGTAACTCAGAAAGATTATATTTCGCACAGTGCACAGATAATCCAGTGTGGTTGAGTCAATAAAAACAGCAGCTGTGTTTTTATCTCTGCAGGAAACAAATCCAAGTATTGCTTACCCAAATCCAACAGTTCATGGGGCTTGACTATATTGTTTTAGCACTGTATTTGCCATGATGCCACCTTGGCAACAAAGGCCATTTGGGTTCTGCTTTCAATCAGTAGGAGGTTTCTGTGGGTTGTTTCTGAGAAATCAGCACAGCCAGACGTCAGGGGGGAAAACCCCGTGTCTGAGCGAAGCAGGATCTGATCTGCAGCTTTCATTGGTGTTGAACCTCAGCATCCCAGACACTTTGAGGTGACTCATTCATCCAAACATACCTGTAAAGCAGTGATGTTCTGGTATTGCCATTTCACAGAAAAGGACAGAATGACTCGCTTGAGGTCACATAGTACAGAGCAGAGCAGATTATACATGTGATCTACCAGCACCTTCCCCTCCAGTCCCCACTACAACTAAAAAGATGTTATTTTCAATCCCTGCATTTGACCTGCATATTTTTGGTATACACTCCCCTTACTCTCTCTTTCTCAGCTCTTGGGCTACGTTGGCCATTTATTTAAAGACCTGGGATTTGACTGTCCTGAGATTTTGACTCCCCAGGCACTGTCCTGGGCACGCACTGCATTCGACTCTGGTCTGTGCTGCAAAGAGGGCTGGGAAATGGGACAGGCGGGAACGTGGAGAAGTCCATGCAGGAAGACTCAAAACCCCGTGAACACAAAGGATCCCTGTGTAGGAGCGGCTCCAGTGCAGTCTATTGGTCTGTGCAAAGCCTGGCTCCATTGGCATAAAATCCCAGTTGCTTCTTCCCACAGACCACCCAGTTACTCTGCTTTACAGTCAGGAGAAAGTTAATATCCAGAGGGATACTAACTCTCTTATTTTACTTGCAGGATGGGGATTTGGCACTAAATTATGGTGAGAAATTGATTCTGGGAATGCCAATTTTGCAGGTCTCTTGTTAGTGATTGTAGTTCCAGGCTTCTTTATTCTTTGTCTCCTGGAGTGAGGGAGGGGATGCTTCTGACAACCTTTCATTTTTCATGTCCTTGTAACAAGGTACTTAGTAGAATTTGCAGACTCCTTGAATCGGACAGGCTGTGCCATGAGCACTTCTTCCATGGCTTCTAGCTTGCAATCTCTGAGCGGTCTACCACGTGCCTTAGCGCCCATGCCACCGCAGCTAGGCAGTTGACATGTAGAGAAGAAGGAGCCTTGGGGTGCGTCCAGACAAGTGTGTATGTAGCATCACATACTGATCGTTTGCAACACCACATACTGCACAGTCCAGTGTTCTCCACACTGCAAGGGTGCACTGCCTGAGCGTGTGCTGCACTGGATTTTTTTTCAACTTTTTTTTTTTTTTTTTTTTGACCCCTGGATATCCGGGGGTCAGAAAAAACCACAGGAAAAAAACAGGAGCAGCGCATGCTTGGTCAGTGCGCATTGCTGAAAAGCGGAGCTGGGCCGCCCAGAGCAACAGGCTCCGCATGACAAAATCACTGCAGCTGCAGCCCCGGGAGGTCCCCAGGACCCCAGGTAAGGCGGCTGGCCGCAGCCTCTCCTACCACACCCAGGGCAACTTGCTGCACGCCAAAGCGCACGTGTCATTCCCTGGGGACAAGTAGCGGTGGTGCAAGATGCACTGCCACTGCTTCTCCCAAGGAGCCACATGTCCATGCACATCTGGACACGGCCCTTGGAGTTTTGGTGCGAGTTGTGAATAGCGCGCTCTGTACAAGCATCTAAGGGAGGTAGGTGTGTGATTGAGTCGGTTGGCAACCAGGAGGCAAATGCCTGAAACATCAGAACACCAGATGGAACCATTTCAGTCCCTCAGCGCCTTTACGAGCAAACTGGGCATAAGCTGGGAAGACTGTGTGGCCTAATGGACAAAACATTGGCTTTGCAGTCCAGTAAACTCGAATTTATTCCTAGCAGTGACGTAGCATGAGTCACAGCATCTTTCTTTGCTTTCTATTTCCTACTTAGATTGTGATCTCTTCTGGGCAGAGACGATCTCGCATTGTTTATGGACAGCACCCTGCACAATGCGGCCTTTGTGTTGTTTGGGACCGCAGGTGGTGCTGTAACAGAAATATTAGAGGTTAATTTGTTATAAACACATTTCTCACCACTCACTTTACCATTATTCTTTTAATAGATGTTTCTGAAACCATCTGGGCATCAGTCAACCTTATCAGTTGGATGGGCTGGTACTCAACTGACAGCTGAGGAAAAAAACGAATGCGTAACCTTTCCCTCGCTGTGTTTAAATACAGAATTCAACATGTTGGAAATGCATTACCCTGTTACATTATTACTAGACAATTTGGTAGTGACAGAGCTGGTTGCTGTTGCTGTAGCCAAGGATTTTGAAGAATTTGGATCAGATTTGGTAAAATACTACATTTCCTTTACTTATGCTAAAGCCAATGAGAGGTAAGAGGATGCTGTATCTCGTAGACAGCGTTCAGCAACAGTCTTCCTGCGTAGGAAAAACAGTAGCTAATACAGCACAGTGTCCACATCACAGATATTTCCCCAGCTCCCATAGGATCCTTCTTTAGTACCCTTCACAGAAAGACAATGACTGAATAGGCCATGAAGGCTGAGTTCTCCTTTCACTTGTAGAGGGCAGCAGCATCTGTCCAGCGTGGTTCCTGTTGAATAAAACCCAGTATCACAGGGCTGTCAAACTGCCTCCTTGTGCAAGCAGTGAATGCACATAATGTTTGTGAAAGAGTAAAAGCAATAGTCCCAATTTTCAGTTCATTGTAATTTGCTTTTCTTGTTTTCAAAACCATCACCATCCACCAAGCTTTCCACTCACTGCTGAGCCCTGAAATCTGACGGTTGCCCTGCAGTCGTTTTCTTCTTCAAACCAAACTCAGTCATTTCGATCTGGATTCCATTTCATTTGGGACCTGGAGTTGAGTCTGAATTAAGGCTAGGGCTTAGCATTGCAGGGAAGGATTTAAAACACGGCCAGCTTTTCAGCCGTAAGTGTTGTATCACTTTCTGTTAGATCTACACATATTAAGGTGAAATCTCACAAGGATGATCATTCTTCACTACTGTAATGGGAGAATAGGCTTCTTCTTATGTGACAGGGAACCCAAAGTGCAAGAGCTGACTCTGATCCAAAAATTAAAATCCAACCCACATCCCCAAATTCTAAGTGGTTCCATCTGAGAGTCGAGTTCTGGCCCATCTCTAACACTACAGAGAGGATACCAAGAGGACAAATTTGTCCTTACTTGCCATACTTTACACTGCTAACATCCCAGCCTGAAATCCTTGTTGCTAACATAAATAATGATCAGAGACCTAATAAAGGAAGTTAATAAATGCTTCAAATGTCTGCCCCTCGCAGCGAATTTAAAGCGACCAGGGAAATGCATTTCACAAGATAATCAGTAGTGTCAATTTAGGATGGTTCAGCATAAGGCTACCTGCAGGAGTTGTAGGACCACAAAGTGAAAATGCTTGTGGGGCGGTGTGATGATTGTGGCTACTCTGTATACTACTCTGAGTATGGCTTATAAATTATTACTTGTTTAGCACTGAGTCTGAAATCACTGCTTTGTTAAAAGGTTACATTTCCCAATGTCCAATGGAGAAATAAATCACATCCTAACTGTTTTCATAACCTGGTTTGAGTACTAGCTCCATTCTTTTTTTTAAACTCATTTCATGTGTAAACGTAACAAGTCCAGATGTGAAGTCTGGCATTCTCTGCATCCAGCTGAAGGAAATGTCTGAAAGAATGCTCAAAGGTACAACAGTAGAGACAGAAAGAAGCAGTTTATATGTCCAGAGTGTTATTTCCTGTAGATCTCTGTCCTTATATCAGGTCATGAAAGAAGCGGCATGCAGCGTGTAGGCAGACAGAGCACATGAAACAAAATAAAACTGCTACCTAGAGCCTAGTACTCAACACTTCTCTGTACCAGGCACTTGTGCTGCTAAGCAGAAGTGTGCATTTCATCTAACTCTGCTTCTGCCACTCAGCCGCTGTGATTTGAAATAAAGGATTATCTGGCTTGTTGGCACCAAACTCTTTATTTGGCACCAGAAGAGACCGGAATCTGGGAGTCAGTGTTACAAAAGTGGGCTTAGGGGTAGAGAATATGATGCGTCTGAAGGGCGGTTTTTAAAAACCGGGTACCCGAGCCATAGCAGCTCTGCTCAGATCAACACCGCGTGGTTCAATCTGTTGCTGTTTGTCAGCATTTTAAATCCCTGCATTTCCTCTCCTACCTGCTTGTGATTGTTAGAGGAGGAAGAGGTCTTCTGTCCTGTCCTTTCTCACTAATCACCTCTGTCTGACATGCCTCCCGTAACCTTATCACCAGCGATCTTTCTGCAGCATGTGTAGTTGGGCATAGTGCCTGCATGAATAGGGTGGTCTAAAAATGTAGCAAGGGTGTTCTATTTTGATTTTGTCACAAGAGAGTCCCCTTTCATCGTGCTTAACATGTTGTCCGTGAAAACCATGACGGTAACTTCATAACTCCCTCCAGAGTGCCCCCCTGCATGTGCCAAAAGCTTGCTGCGCCTCATCAAGAAACAAGACATGGGGGGGAAGTGGAGATTTGGCTGAGAAAAGGAGCACTGTGACTCCTTGCTTGTTTGTCCCTTCTCAGAAAGGCCTCAGGACAGCAACAAGGTCTTTGCATTGAATACCAGCCGGTGGCCTCCTGTGTGGACCGCCTCCTGCCATTCATTTTGGAGCACTGCAAGGGAGATCCACTTGGAGAGCACATTGCAGAAGGTCACGGGAGATTATGCAAAGTGGAGTTCTCCCTGCCAGTCTTTCCTGGATCAGATGACCTATTTGTTCCCTGCAATTTTGTCAATCCAGTGTCAGGATTATTATTTTTGCTAGCATGAGATCAGGTTGTCTTGCAAATGGAGCTGTTGGACTATGCGATGAACTGTATGAAGGGTGGCTAAAGACAATCTGTATGATATGCTCAAAGCAGCACAGAGCGTGGATCATCTGCTAGGATCTCTTTTGGACACCCTCCTCCCCGTCCCCATCTATTCTGTGCCATTGCAGGGACATTGGTCATTGGTGGCACCTGGATCTCTCCCCTTTTCTGCCTCTGGTACTCAAGCATCCAGTCAAGACAGGATGAAATGTAATGGCCTGTGATATACAGGAGGTCAGGTTAGATGATATAACAGCCCCTTCTGGGTTTAAACTTCCTGAAATCATCCTTGCTGTGTTTTCTGAAGAAAACCTGGATAATCCGGTTTCCTTCCCAGTTGGCAAAAGAACCAGTCATTCCACTTTTGGGCCTGGAATGCATTACGTTTTATATAGTCAGATGGGGAAAGGCTCACAATGAAGCAGCAGGGAACACGCTTCCTGCTATGTCCTCTTTGAACTGCAGCCCTCAGCTCCAGGGCTGGAATGACCCCACTGATTTAGGTGCAGTTTCTCTGGATTCATGCTGGGGTAGTGCAGAATAGCATTTGGCCCAGGCCAGAAAAGGCCCGTTAGATCATTACGTCCATCTTCCTGCCAGAGAAGAATTGCTCCCTATTGCACATTTATTTTTTCCAGCTTTAGAAGCACGCCAAGAAAAGGGGCTTCTACCACACCCCTAAGGAGGTTATCCAATGCGTACAGTAGCTTTCCTAATATAGTCGCTGTGCCAAGGGCCTTTTCAAAGTGGCCGGATCACTTCCTGATGGCAAATACTAATGTCATCTACTAGATTATGCCCTTTCATGCCTTCTCGCTCTGACCCAAGACGTAAGAGGGGAAGATCATGTCATGCTGCTTTCTGCTGTGTTGTGATCTAGTTTGTGGTCCTGCCCACTTCTTGTGCTTCCCCCTTCTCTGATGTATCTGGGATCTATTTATGTGCGAAGCACAGAGTATGTCACCTTGGCTCTTTGAAAATCAGAGGGAGTTTTACCCTTGGTTTATGTGGGGCCAGGATTCCACCCAGCGCACGTAATAATTCTTCACGCGCACGTTGTGAATTGAACCTGGCCAACTCGAGTGATTTTTATCACACGTTTCATGGTATTTGGTGTTGTTATGAAACCCCTGGCTCCTGGGGACATGCAGTTAGGTGAGAATCTCAGTCTGGAGGGTTTTCTTCCCCCTAAATCAAGTTTCTAGATCTCAAGATTGCAGAGAAGGCCTCAAAGATACGACCTGAGTGCATTCTTACATTCTCAGAAAACAGATGGCAAATATAAAGGACCCAGCGTTTGTGCTGGGAAATACTCAAGGCTAATAGTTGGCGCTTCTACGGCAGGTTTTACTTGAGGATCTGAAGGGACTTCAGAAACTCAAGTGAAAAAAAGTGGCCAAGCAGCCCCGCGCCGTAGGGAGTTACAGCAGCCCCATCTTTCGGAAAGGGACCAGGGACACACAGAATGTAGGTTTGATCTGTCCAAATTTTATCTGGTTCATCTCATTCACTGAAATAGTCTTGTTCTTCGTCAGATGGACTGGAATCAACACGTATCACCATCTGGATTCTCTTTCTTTCTACGCGTTCATTTAAAACAAAAAAATCTGTTTAACTGGAGTCCGGAGTCTTAGTCAATACAGAACTCGAGAGTGATTGACAGCTCCAGGCTGAAATGAACATTTCTGAGCGTATTATTAAATGTCTCTCAAAGCGTCTTAGGCAGATGTTTGTTCTCTCAGATTTTCCAAACGTTATAGGAACCCCAGGCAGCACATTCCTCAGAACGGGATGTCATCATCACCTGTGTTCATACCCAGGCTCATCCAAGAAACACTTTTATTCCAGGGTAACTGGTTTTGCATTTCTGATGAAGCTCTTAAAAGCAAAAAACCCTTTCAGCTGTGGGCAGGAGGCCTGGTGGGGGACACAGAGACTCCATGACATAGCACAGGGACCACCGCTTTGCCAGGCATTAGGCATTCGTTATGATTGCAGCTTAAAGACCACTGCATTACACTTCACCGTGCCAGTGGGAGATGGGAGAAGGACGTTGTCATCTTCCATTTCGCACAGCAGGAGAGCATGGCACAGAGAAGTAAAGGCCTGTTTTCAGTAGTGGCATCTATATTTACATTGATTTGGGGGTGTCCAAATTTTGACTCCTCAGGCTTAAATTTCAGGGGTTGTGATCACCCCCAGCCCCAGCTGAAGTCAGTAGGAACTGATTGTGGGTAGTGCCTCAAAAATCCAAACCCAGGAGGCTAAATGTGAGCATCCATACAGTACGGCATCCAAAATCAGATGCTACTTTGGAAAACTGCAGTGCAAGGGACTTAGCTGGGGTCTCAGAGGAAAGTCCTGGGAGATTTGGGAAGGGAGGCTCACCTTGCAGGTCACCACTTCACCGCTATACACAATTCCAGATGCTCAGCAGCCTGAGCTCACAAGCGTGCCGGCAGAAGACCGAGCCATTATTACCATGCAGGGTCTATTATCTGTTTT